TACCTCTCCTTCAAACCCAACAACTATCAAACCATCGCAGCGAGCTTTACCGGGTCTAATTCAAGCTCTACCAATACCACCGAGCTTAACATGACGCCATCCCATAGGGATCTTCAGGCATACAGTGAGCGCTCGCAGGTCTTGAATGCTAGAAGTAGGCAAGTTCGGACTCGAGAGATGAGTGAATCTTCATCTTTTACATCGTTTCGTAATAGCTCACTAACATAGACTTGTTTAAAGACCCCAGATTGAATCTCTTTTGCGTCCAATTCTTCCTCCTTCCTCCACCCCGCAAGATCAATTGTCAGCTCCACCCTTGGCCTCTGATTGTGAACATCATGGAAGTGCGCAACCGCTGCTCTCATATCAAACTAAGCCACTAGAAGCGTGCGAATATACTTCCATCGAAGGGTCTGATCAGGCGCAAGAACATTTCTCAGGCTGTGCCCCCGACAAAGAGATTGACGAAACCCCGTACCCTGTTGGCCACTCTCATGTCAGTGTCGATGCTGCGTTTCCGATTATGGATATAAATCCGAATCACCTCGGACCCAGGGCAGACTTGGAAGGGCTTCCGTTTTATCTCGAGTGGCAGCAATTCAATCTTGCCGATGGGACATGGAGGTACGTGATTTGATTGACCGAGCGTTGAACCATACTTATAGACAGATGGGATCCCGAGCACATTCCGCTTATGGAACTGAAGGGCCAAAAGCTTTTCCTTAAAACGGGGTATAGCCATAAACTACTCGAGCAGCCCTGTGTGGCCAAATGCTTAAGTGAAAACCCAGCTGTCGGGTGGCCCAGGGTGATTTTCCAGGACAAGTAAGTCCTGAATCCATTGCCATACATGTACACAATTAATCATAGACTCACCAGTTTCAAATGCGTGTAAGTTTGCACCTTCTGCCAACTTGGCTCTTTATTCACAAGGCGAAGAGCATTTTCGATAACAGGAGCAACGATCACTTGTGATGAGCCACCGGTCACACTTCGAGCTGATTTCTCGACTTTCGTTCCAGATTTTCTCTCGAGTTTGAATTCAATTTCATGCACTACTTTGCTAGTGTCAAATGACACCGAAGGCCTTAGTGATTCTCTTCCGAATACTGCAACGCCTTTAAAAGGTAAATCACATGAAAACAGTATGTCAACCAGATAGTTCAGAGGACAATACTGATATAAAGATGCATAGAGCTAGTCAACGGCGCCAAATGGAACGCTGAAGTCGTGGCAAAGCAGGCTGTACGCAAACTCTTTGGCCGAGTGCGCTCGCGAACACGACTTTCACCCCCCAGCACACTGAAAGAGCTTTATCAAGCTGGCTTCAACAGCCTCAATGCAAGGACGTGTCGAGACCTTTTGGTCAAGTGGATGATTATTATGGGAAGGACGAAAGGGTCGCCATACGTGAAGAAACCAAGCTGGTGGCCCGATAATATCGAATACCAGAGTGCTCGAATGCTGTGTGGCTTTGGTATGTGTTCCCGCAGCTTGATACTTACACTCATTGACACTCCATAGATATCAAAACAGTCCTCTTTCATATGTTCTACAGTAAACAAGGTCTTGTTCTCTTTGGGAGATTTTATGCCGCTCGGAAGGACGTCAAAATTACCAAAGAAGACGAAGAGACTCTAGCATGGGCTCTCTATATTCGAAGTGTTCAAAACCGATATCAGGCTTCGTAAGTACCGATTGACTTTGAATTTCTGCTGAAAGCCACCTGACAGTATATAGGACTGCCTGAGGAAAGCTCGGTGTATCAATAGGCGCATTGGAAATCTCAAACCGTAGTTCTGGTTCATGGGATCCCTTCTCTCAATTTGCCTGGAACATTTTTTGCTGTTCAATACCGCCTCCTTTTTGAAAATGCTATAATTCCTGAGTAAGAAATGGAATCAAGCTGAAAATGTGGATTTCTGACTAAATCTGTGTGAAGTTGGAAACATATCAGAAATATGAAGATAGTCTTTTGGTGGCAAGTAGCAAGTCAGGTTAAGTCTTTGGGATGAATTGATGCGCCTTGGCGCAAGGATACCAATATTACAATACCTTTCCATTAAATGGTAATTTTGATTTTTTGAATGCGCTTGTATTCAGACGGACGTAGCCTACTCGATAGTTCTTGAATGCTCCATACCTGCTGCAGCGAAAGATCCCGGCAGCCAATCCTAATGTATAAAAATCCTTGTAAGAATTTCCCTGTTATTCTTGTATGTCCCCCAAAATACTCTCTTCCAGACCAATAAGCGCCCAAGAACCAGCTAGTCGCGATTCAGGATATGCATTACAGGTTTTCCCCGCTCATCACGGCTTGAACTGCGACAGGTCTTCCTGAGCAAGGGGCTGGAGGGTCGGCTATCTTCCCTTCCTTCCTTCACGTCGTACTTTAGTACAAATGAATCTCATCAACCCTGCGTCTCCGCTTCAGCCAGATGAGACCTTCATTCTTCGTTTACACTGCCTCCCTCCAATTATTCTCGAATCCTGTTGCTGCAAGAGCATGTCCTATAATAATGAACATTGGATTTCCGGTTCTGGTCTTGGTCCCCGGCCTCGCGGCTCCCTTGTCCCAAAGCCAATTCCCCAGTCGCATCCGTCGAATGAAAGTTTCATCGGTCCTTCCTGGGAAGAGGAGATGATTACTTCTTCCTCGAGCTCAACTTCTTTTAAGCCGAGCCCTATAACTGCAATTCCTAGCCATAAAGCAGCATGGGACAGTGTGCAGGACTCGTTCATGAGGGCGGAACCTAGGGGTGTTGGACCCCAAGGCTTGTAAGGCAAACTCATTCCAGTCCTTGATAAATGCTAATGCTGATTTATGAGAATTTGCAGCAAACAGTGGCATAATGGCCCAACGGAAAAGCACCTGGAGTCTGCGACCCATTGCAAAATTTGCTTTGATTCCGAGCATAACTTGTCATGGATTGATCAACTAGTGGCTAGAGGTGACTCAGCCCTGAAAAACGTCCTGGCAATTATCGAAAAATGCGACGAACCTCGATTGGAGTTCTTTTATAGAGCTGCTTTCCGAAGATTGGACACGAATGCATCATCAAATACCTTGGGTCTATGGAAGAAGGCTATGAACTCAGAAGTCTGGTTGAGAATCATAAACACGTATTGGAAGGAGTCTCCATGTCACGGTTTGTGTCCAAGACTCATCATTTCTTTTCTAGGCTGACCACTGAAGATCCGCGGGACATTCTCTATCATATATTGTGCGGCAACCACGGGCAGAAGCTTCCTTTCAAACATCTCCTCGAGGCATTGTGCTTTGCCCGCATCGAAAAAAATGACAGAGAGGAGGTTGAAATGCGTCTACTCCTGCGTGAAATTGAAATGTGGAGAAAGTCAGGCCATTAGGCCATTTTACAGCGTTCACTTGTTTCCGATCTTCTGCTGAAACACAATTCCATTCATTACTCAATGTGTACGATCTCTCAATACAATGCTCCTTCCGCTGCAAGAGAGCTTTCACAAAATGGATTTATAGCCCACATATCGACTCCGTATTCAATATAGCTTCAAACTTTGACTAAGAGAAGTTCGGATGCTAAGTTAA